AAAAAATATTCTCAAATTAAGTCTTCAAAATATCATTTTACAAAAATTATTTATAATCATAAAAAATATTGTTATTTAATTGTCAGAATTAAAATAGTGCACAATAGAATAAAAAAATTTGTGAATGATTTAAACTAAAAATAATAGAAAGGAAAATAAGACAATTTTTTAATGAAAATCTATTTGAAATGAACTTAAAACATATTATTTCACATTTGTATCTCTTTATATTCACTTTTAGTTTAACCTATGATCATCAATTACTTATACTAAAGTTACTAACATTCAATGATCATGCAATGTCAATATTCGTTTTCTTAAGTTATTACTTACAATAGTTATGCAAGGTAAAAAGAGAGGAAAACATAAAGAATTTATAAATTTGTCAATTCAATGATCAAAGGAAAGATAAAAACTAAGATTAGTCTACTTAATTTCCTATCTCATTTTACCACATAATTTCATTAACTAAATATGGTATGATCGCCTATCATGCAATCAACTAGAGATGTTAAGAGTAGCCAAATTTTAACACAAAAACATATGTACACTAGGAAAAATCTAATCTTGAAAAGTATCGGTATTGTAATTAAATAGAAAGATTACATAAAGTATACAAATCATGCATTATAGCCCTAACTATGAATTTAACTACACATAACAAAATAGGTAAAGAAAACAAATGTAAAGAAAAACATATTCTTTCAAAAAGAAAATATAAACTAAAAAAATCACAAAAAGAAATAGATGAAAAGAATCTATATTGCCAAAATGCATTTTTAATCATTCGTTTGGGCCCCAAAATAGTATTATTCGTCTTACCAATGATCTTCACTCTCAAATGCATCCAAAAGTTGTCAAAAGACAATCAAGAAAAATTTTCCCAAAATTTCTCTTGCACAAACCATAATAGCTTCTTAAATAGGGATCTCATGTTAAAAATTAAGTATGGTTGTGTTTGTTGTTAAATATAACTTTGTTGATTGCTAAGAATAGTCATGCTTTTTATTAAAAAATTTCTCAGTTATATTCAAAATGCTTTTGTAATTAACTGGTGATCGATTCATACTAAACTATAATAATTAACCAAAAAATTAAGCACAAAATCTTCATCCAATAAAGATCAAGTATATAAAAATAAGTTATAACGGTGTCCCAGAATATTGACTTATTATTATTTTATAAAATTAATAAAAAAATAATAATAATATTTTTACTGGTACAACTTTATCCTTGATAAATATAATTTTTATATAGTAAAATATTATAATAAGTGAGATATTTAATATAATTCTTTATCTTTTGCGAAAAAGATAAATAATTATTTAATAAAACTAATATAGTGGTTATATAATAAATTTATTTATATTTAAATATATACATATATATATATATATATATATAATTTTAAATAGTCAATGAATGAATTAATTTAACTACATGAAAAATAGTAATAAATGTTGTTTGCACTTAGCAACTACCATTCTATGGATAACTTCTATGAATTAAAAAGCAAGAGAGGATAAGTGTTGAAAGAAATAGTTTTGTTTGATAAAGATAATTTATAACTTATTTAAAAATTTGTAGTTTATTGATTTATATGCTTAAAAAAGCTCTTTGTTAAATATAAAAAGAAAAGGAGTTTGTAATTTTAAAAGCTAATTATTTAAAAGTTATCTAAAACAACGTTTAATTTTTAAAAACTAATTATTAATATTTTTATTACATTTTAATTTTTTATTTTTAAAAAAATAGCTTACCAGTTATATGATTAAAATTTGATGTACATATTTAATTTTATTATCTTTTGTTATATTCACATTTATAAAAATTTTATTTTTATAGTTATTCTCTTGTTTCTTCTATCCAAATGTATTTTATATTAAAAATATATGACTTATAATATTTCATGTCTAGATATATCTATCAGGAAAAAAAATTATATAATTATATAATTATTTGATAAAAAATAATAATAATTAATTTTAATATTACATTAATATAACATTGTATTTCTTTTTAATTATTTAAAGTAAATAAATAAATTATACAACTAATTTATTAAATAATTTTAAGCTTATTTGACGTAGCCTAGGGTAACCCATGATGTCAACTGTCGAGCTACAGCGGTTCTTCCAAGTTAAGAGGGACGAAATATTTGCTAGCCAGTAGCCACCACAATCCTATCTATGTTTATTTGAATTTGACCATAAGCTGCTTCCTATCTTTCCTTTCAAAATCAAATTCATTGCTCGACCGAGAAAACCGGCAGGGAAACATATAATAGAAAAATAAGCAACGTTAACTAAACAGAAAAGGAGAGAGAAGATGCACAATTTCACACAATGAAATCATGATATTCTAGAAAGCGGAATCAAACTATCAAATACATTTCATATTGTTATCTACAGTTGACTATCAAGATTTTCCTAAAATTATTCCAAATTACCTTTTCTAGCGAGCCGACTCTTTTCATAAACTTTTTGGGTTAATTTCAATTCATTGCTTTTGATAAACTTTAGCTCTTAACACTACTCAACCTTGGATCAGACCCTCTCTCGGTCCCTTGTGATGGGATCACCGTATTAGTATATTTCATAAAAATAAACAGTTTTTATTATATAACTAGTGCTATTTTTTTGTTACATTATACATACACGTATATAAGGAGGAAAACGTAAAAAGGTTACATATATTTTATAAAGAAATTATAATTTTATAAATATAATTCTGATAATTTAAATCTTTATGTTTTAAATACAAGTTTGATAAATTATGAAGCATTTAAAATAAAAAGTAAGAACTTGGATAAATAAATATCTATTAAGGTTATTTTTAACCATTTAAATTGAAGAAAACCAACAATTAACGTTATTTGTTAAAATAAAAAATCTTAATTTTGATGCATTGTCGTTTATCGATGTAAAATAATTTATACAATTAATTAATTAAAATATTAAATAAATATTTTTTAAATTTTATTATAAAATTCAATAAATTTTATTAATATAATAATTCATAATTAATATAAAACACTTTTATGTTGTTATTTTACATCAATCAAATTCAAACAAAAGTAATGAGGTTGATTTTGGTGAGAAAAATTAAATGAAAATATATTCACATAAATAGTCAGATTCACTCACACTAAGTGTTAAACTTAAATATTTATATCATTTAATAAGTTTTCATAAAATATGAAATTGATCAATTTAACTCCTAATTTAAAGATTCTTAGTAAATGATTAGTCTTAAAAAAATTTACTAAAATAAAACTAATATGTAGTTCATCAAATTATTTAATTTAACAAATTTTATGTTTATAGAATATAAGTAAATATCAAATTTTAAATAATTTACCTACAAATATTTAAATAGTGTAAAATTTAACATGCATGATCATAAAAATAATATTAGATGATTTAACGTATGTAGTATGTTAAACTTAAACACTTATATTATTTAATAACTTTTATAAAATGTAAAATTAATCAATGTAATTATTAGTTTAAAGGTTTTTATCAATTAAATTATTTTTATAAAATATCATTAAAAAATTAAATTAAAAAGTATTTGATCGAATTACTTTATTTTAACAGATAGTATAATTTTAAAATATTAAAAAATATTATATTTTAATAACATATCTACAAACGTGTAAATTTAATAAAATTTGATATACATAATCATAAAAATGATATAAGATGATTCAACAATTAAATTTATTAATATTATATTTAATAAAAAATTATTAAGTGGTGAATGTATCCAAATTCAACATTTAATGTTAATAAATCCTATATATATATATATATATATATATATATATTAAGTTCAGATAAGAAAGAGTGTTAATGCATATTTATTAATGATTTTTTTGTAAAATTAATTAATTATTTTTCATTTTTAAAATAAAATTGATTAAAATAAATTACCTTTATTTAAAATAAGATAAATAAAATATCTACTTAACCTTCAAGTATAAATGATGTAACAAGTTTAATAGTACATTTTTTAAAATTCGGAGGATTAAATGAATATTGGGCTGATAGTAGGGGTTGTTTAGAGTTTTGCTAAATTCCTTGACCAATCAATCAAATGAATTTATAAATGTAAATTAAATAATGAATTATAAATTAATTTTGTTTAACCAAAAAATAATTCAAATTTATTTTAGCATATACATGCATGGATCGATGGGTTAGTGAATGAGTGTAAAAGGAGATGGAACATCGGGTCAAATGGGAACCTCCTTCTGACACTGACTTCACTAATGTCGATTGCAATTATTGGGGGTAATCAGAGAAGGGCTAGTTTAGTGCTCCTATGTTATCCACAGGAATGGGAAATGGTTGGGTGGTTTAACTGATTACATTAATTGGTATGTCTGATAAGATGCATGTTGAACTGTTTACCATTTTGTGTGGTTTAAAATTAGCAGGAGCATGGGAATTAGCACTCTACTTACTTTCCTCCTAATCTTGTTCAATCTGTACTCCCTAATTTCCATTAATATGCTACATCTTGCGGTAGATCAAAGACAGGTTGGTTGGCTAAGTATTGGATTGTCTGTTTTAAATACACCCTCCTCAAAGATGAATATTATTGTGGTAATTTGAGTAAAAACGTGAAGAAATGTTCTCATATACATCATAGATTGTTCATAAATATTGTATTAATTACTGTTTTATTAAGCGAGTAATTCATACGAAATATGAATAGTCTTATCAGCGAAACCTAAAAATGAAAGAATTCATTTTTACTAGGAAAATACATGTTGGTGAAAGAAAACAATTAATTATACTGTAATTTCCTTAAATACATTTTTTATAATGTGTAGTTCATAAAAATAAAATAGGTAAAAATATAAAATGAAAATAAATGTGTAGTTAATAATTGAGAAATAGAGGGTTAGTAAAATGGAATAAAATAATTTACCTAATAAAGAACGTGAAAGTAAATGGAGTATATATTAGATAAGTATCGTTGGCAACGAATTTAGTTTGGAAGTTTCGGGGACATTAACTGGGTACACCGTCTCTGACCACCATCAAACATTACTGAAGCGACGACTATAAAAGGTTAGTGCGGACCCCACTCCCTGTGACTATGTGAGCCTTCCCTTGACTCACACGACACCTTCCCCCAAAAATAACAAAAAAACAAACCTCTCCTCTCTCATTTATAACCTCTCCTCCTTCACGTTGTTCTATTGTATTCATTCAATTCAACGCACACTCACTTTCGCAGCCTCAATTTCACCAACGCAAGCGCCATGGACAAACATGGTGGAATTGCCCCTGTTCTCTTCCTCTTCCTCTTCATTTTTCCCCTCGCTGCAGCACAGCCCAGAAACAATGACCAAAACGATTCCTATTACAACCGATTCAGTCCCTCCATGGCCATTATAATAGTCATCCTCATCGCTGCGCTCTTTCTCATGGGTTTCTTCTCTATCTACATCCGCCACTGCGCCGACTCTCCCTCCAGCAGTATCCGCAACCTCGCCGGCGTCGCGGGACGTTCCCGGCGGGCGGCCAGAGGTCTGGACCCGGCGGTGATCGAGACGTTCCCCACCCTTGAATATTCGGTGGTAAAGATTCACAAGATTGGAAAAGGAACACTGGAGTGCGCGGTGTGCTTAAACGAGTTCGAGGAGACCGAAACGCTGCGTTTGATCCCCAAGTGTGACCACGTATTCCACCCTGAGTGCATCGACGAGTGGCTATCTTCCCACACCACTTGCCCTGTTTGCCGAGCCAACCTCGTTCCGCAACCCGGTGACTCGGCGCGTGGAATCCCGGCCCTCGAGGCCCATGATCACAACCCGCAAGACATCGAGGCCCAAAACGACGCTGTCGAGCCCGCCCCTGAAGATGCGGGCCCAACTACTTCAGTCTCGAATGAACCTGATGTGTTGTGCTTGAACCAGACGCTGAACCGGAACCGAACGAGAGGGTCGCGGTCAGGTCGGGCACGAAGGTTCCCGCGGTCTCACTCGACCGGGCACTCTTTGGTCCAACCGGGCGAAGACACTGAGCGGTTCACTTTGAGGTTGCCCCAGGAAGTGAGGAAGCAGATACTGGACCCGCAGTTGCATCGTGCTAGAAGCCTTGTCATATTGCCTAGAGAAGGTAGTTCGCGGCGGGGATATCGAAACGCCGGCGAGGGAAGTAGCAGAGGGAGGTCTTCGAGGCGGTTGGACCGCGGTTTTAAATCGGACCGGTGGGTTTTCACCATGGCGCCGCCGTTCCTAGTGAGAGCCTCGTCGATTAGGTCTCCGAGGGTGGCTAACAACGCCTCTGAAGGAACCTCTGCTTCTGTAGCTACCCTGCCGGCCGCGGCGGCTGCGGAATCGGCGCGCCCTCCGGTTTAGCTGCCCCTTCTGCCATCACACCCCCCCCCCCCAGTTCAATATTTCATTGTATTTATTAAAATTGTTTTTGCCACGACTTTTTTTACGCTAAGACTTGTAAGATGTGTATAATGAATTAAGCACGCTTAGTTTCTGAATCATGATCAAATGATAAACTCAGCATGAATCAAGGTGATTTTGTTCATCATTTCAGATGTGAGGGGAACAAAACGAAAGTATAATCGTTTTGTGGTGAGCTTTCCATCCACTTCTTAATGAGTGTTCTTGCTTGGTTCCTATTTCCTAGTACTTGGTGGTGTAGGATGTCCCAACTTTGAAGGGAAAATCGCATGCACGAACGTGTTGGGGCTACCGATGGAGAAAAAGCTTTTGTAATTCTTTGAAGTTACAAGTATCTTCAGTTCTTAGGATGAGATTGTCCGCAATTGGAAGAAAAGCAGCTCCGACACATTTTAAATGAATAAAGAAAGGGCCAAGTTTTGTTTACTTGGCACCTAAATTTTGTCCCACGGGTATAAAATCCCACATTTTACATGAAAAAAAAGGGGCCAAGTTTTTTTTTATATCGAAAGTCAAATTCTAATATCAAATCCCACAGGGGTATAAAAAAGAAGTGTGTCCTGTGTGGTGGTTTATGTTCGTAAAGATTTTTTCAAAATTTGTATAAATAAATATTAAATTATATACATTATCTTAATTAAATATAAATTATTCATTCCGAAAAATATACAGATTAATATCGTTTTCATAGGTAGAATCACGACGACGAAGACTGTAAAGTAGATGCCATCTATGAATTATAACCTGCAACGTAGTGGAGCTTCACTAATACGTTTGAGGCATGAAATTGTTGAACTACTAGTTTTTGTCCAAAATATTAGTCGCAAACTTATAAATTCATTTATATTTATCTATTTATTAAGATAAAAAATATACATTAAAAACTATAATTAATCTTTTTATAAAAACTATATTTTAACTTTTTAATTTACATCATTTTTTCCTCAGTAGTGGATCAACTATTACTACTTCAGAATTAACACAATGGTATGAATCAAAATAATAATAATGAATATTAATTTATACATAAATAAAAAATAAAAAATATTATATAATCAATATTACTTTAAAAATAAATAATATATAAAAATATTTTTTCAAGTAAATAGATAAATAAAAAAAAGTGGTGACAATAAAATTTTACAATCATATTTATTCTTTATATATATATATATATATATATATATATATATATAGGTATGATATTATTACATCGGTATAAGTCTAAAAATTTTTACATACAATTTGAACATTTCATTTAACTTAAATTTAATAGATTATAATTTATTACTTTACTGACCATTAGATTTAAGTTAAATAAAATGTTTAAATTGGATGTAAGAGTTTTTACACTTACATTAGTGTAAGAAAATCCTTAGCTCTTATTCTATTCCATATTTAATACAGATCATAATAATAAAATCCATAAAATTATATCACTTTATTTAATATTTAAGATGAAAAAATATAAAAATAGTAAAATTATTATTTTCATTTATTTTATTTTTAATTAAATTTTTATTTTGGTCCTGTTAAAGAAACACTAGTTTTCAGGTCCTTGCTCCGAAACGGTGATGTATATCTGGTAATCGCTGATGTGGAAAGGATATTTGCAAAAGGCACTCCGATGCTGAAGTAAGGATTCGGTTCTGAGTAATAAATAGTATTTAATAATGAAAAGTCAACTATTTACCTATATTTTTACCTTCCTTATATAGGCATTGTAATGAGCTAATGGACCTGTCAAGCTAGTTTTGACTTTAGCCCTTTATTTAAAATAAATAATATCTTGATTATTACCTTAAATTAAGTTTAATTACCTCTTAATCCTGACGAAGAGTATCCAGCCAAATTAGGTCGAATAAGTACTCGGTTTTCTTTTTCTACAAGTAGGACTAAGTTAGTCCCTATCCAGTACATGTTTATATCTTGGAATTTAAATATATATATATATTAAAAAAAATATGTTTTCAAAAAAATTATGAAAGGTATATTTTAAAAATAAAAAATTTTATAAATTTTTTTTAACATATCTTTTATCAAAAATATTAAAATCATATTTTATAAATTTTTCATTTTTATGAATATTAAAAAATATGATGTACGAGTAAAAATGAAAAGAAATTAAATATCATATTTGAACAATTCTTGACTCGCCATTTCTTTTAGAATAAAAAATTAAATGATTAAGATAAAATAAAATAATACAATATAATCATTTATCATATCCTATGTTTAATAAATATTAAAATAATAATAATAATAATAATAACAATAATAAATTATTCTATTTTGACCACAAAATAAATATTTAATAATTAATCAAATAATTTTTTTAATATATATTTAAAAATATATAACAAAAAATTAATAAATCATAAAAGTTTACTAAAATATAATATTTAATAATATTAATATATTTAATTATATATTTTTAATAAAAAATTTATTGTATATAAATTTTTATTATGTAATATTAAATACATTAAAATAATGCTAATCATAAAGAGTATTTGGATAAATAATTTAATTAAATATTTAATGTTTAATTAACCCACAACATTAAACATGTGATTAGAATTGAACTTTAAAATCGTTATCATCACATTTAAATATTCTTTAATAGCTGAAATACCAATTTTACAGGACAGATTTTAAAAATTATAATATTTTTATTTATAATAATTATTGTATAAATTATCGATAAGTATGTAGTTATTATTATAGGAGTTAACATAACTTTCATCATATCATTATCTATATTAGTGTAATGGTGAGTGTTAATAACATGTTATTATCAATCACTATCATTCTTTATTATTATTTTTATACAATAATTTCAATTTTATTTATGTAATATATTTTATTTTATAGGTTAATAAATTCAAAATAATAAGTAAAATAAAAATAAAATTTATTATTTGAATAAGACTGCTTTTTTAAGAAATTTAAAATAAAATAATAAATGATATCTATTAAAATAAAATGAAAAACTTAATTTTAAGAGATGAGTGAATGATTTATCTTTCAAGAGAGTTATATTATTAATATGATGATTTTAATTTTAAAATTATTTTTTAAATTACATTTAGTAATTTTTTTATTTTTATTAAAAATTAATAAATAATAATAGTATTTAGTCTAATATAAAATTTTATAAATCTCTTATACTCAGGTTCATTGACATATTTGACCGTTAAATTAAAGCTAAGATCTTATAACAAGAGAGACTAAAATCTTATGTATAATGATTGTTCTATTTCTGCATATAACTATAATCAATTCATTGCATACAATATATACCAACTTCAATATTCATTTGAAGGGTAATACTGGTCAATTGGCATTCCTTGTAATGCATTGAGTTTGTTGTTCCTACTTTGTTACCTAATCATCATGTATCAATCTCTTATTTCACTTAATTCACGTCTTTGTTGTGGACTCTCTCAAGAATAAGCTGAACCAATTTATATTGGTGCATCACATAGTCAACTGCATGTCACTCTACAACTTCAAAGCATATCAATAGATTTACAGTTGACCACAATAAATGTCTTTCTCTCATGTCATATGAAACAACGACATCAATAGCTTCATCCTGGTATGGTTGCCACAAAAACTATAATTTTAGAATAATTATTTATAAATAATATCAAAGAGGTATAAAAATAGTTAACAATTATAAAGATATATTAACTAGTATCTCATGAAGTCCCATTTGATCTAATGTCAGTATAACATTGCCAAGATCCCTATATGGAGTATTGGTTAGATATTAAAAGTGTCTCCATTTGAGTATAGATAGAAATATTACTAGTTTACTAAGTATTGGAGTTAACCACTGAAGTTGATGTCATACCCATACTTGCAACATTATTAAGCACTTACAAATTTATTTAGCATAATGTCGTGAACTATGATCCAAATCTCTATATAGAAGAAAGGCAACATGTTGAATCCCAATTATACATTTCAATTTTATGAACATGCACCAACAATTGTAAGAATGTTTCATGTACTATTGAATTGTTTTTATTCAACATTAGAATATATCTCACAAAAGAAAGTACATATCCACGAGCATGTTCTGTTATTCTAATATTTGAATTAACAAGAAGTCAATCAAAGTGTTATATGATCTACTTTAATATTATTTTCGAATCTTCAATATCATTTGATTCGGATTGACTTCCAAGTAACTATTCACATATATCCTATAGTGCTAAAATATTTGAATTAGTAGAATCAATAATTGTTAGACCATTTATTTGCCGTCTAAGTAACATAGCAATATTTTTTAATGATATTATGCATTCTTCATAAGTAAAATGGAATGTATATGTTTCTAGTGTCCAACTTTCAATAAATGCATTTACAAGGTCATTATTTATATGCATTTGACATATTTGTGCAACATGATTAAATTCAATATTTTGTAAAATATCATTTATTTTAAGTTTCAGTGACATTTTAGATAACTGACAGAGTCATAGTATTCTCGTTACCTAAAATTAAAAAATAGTAATTAATTTGTAAACTATGAATTAAATATGTATCAAAATAAAAAAAATTAACTATAAAACAAATTATATATTTCTACTTGATTATACCCACACATATTTAATTAATTATTTATTTATTAATTTTTATTAATCAAAATTAGTATTAAAAAAACTAATATTACTCATATATAAAGTATATTAATTCTTAATAAAAGGAATTAAAAAAATCAAATATTACTTTTACTTTGTCTAAAATTATTATTTTTATATTATACAAATATTATAATTTCATCATTTAATACAATTATTATATGGTATTCTTTATACATTGTTTCTTAATAAAAGTAATTAACAAAAACAAAAATGTCATATACTAATAACGATATCACGTTTATTGTTTCTTAATAAAAGTAATTAACAAAAACAAAAGATGTCATATACTAATACCGATATCACGTTTACTAATTTTATTATTATTGTTTTAATATTATACAATTGCTAATATTAAAATTTCAGTATTTAATCACATTATTATATTCTTTCAATTAAATTAATTCTTATTAAAAGTTATTAACAAAAACAAAAATTGTTCTATACTTATTATTTTTTTAAGTTTACTAATATTATTATTATTTTTATATTATAGATTGCTGATATTAAAATTTCAATATTTAATAAAATTAAATAATATTATTTCATTATATTTATTTTTAATAAAATTAATTAAAAATAAAAAAGTGCTATACTTATTATTTATTATATTAATTTTTTCCAAACACTTTTTTTATATCATACATTTCCTATTATTAAAATTTCAATATTTTTTAATATTATTATTTTTATTTCTTCTAACATAAAAAACTTTAAACTACATATTAACTTTTCACTATTTAATACAATTATTATTTTTATATTACGCATGTTCTAATATTAAATCACTAAATAAATAAAATTTACAATCAATAAAAATATAATAATAAATTATAATTAATTAAAATAATTTTCATTAATTAGAAAAATAAATATTTACTCACATTTTTAATATGAACACATTTTGAAATTTGTTTGTGTGAATTTATAGTTGCATCAGAAACGATGTAGATAAATTTTTAGTGAAAATAAAATTTTCAAAAAATTTATGTAACTCTCTAATAAATATTTATAACTTTTTTTAATTTTTTCTTTTTTTTTTTCTTTCCTCCCTTTCTAGTCTTCTTCTTTCCTAACCTTATTTCCCCTTTTCTTTCCTTAGTTCTTGTGCTATCCACGCATGAAAGTGGAGATTCAAGTTATATTTATAGCCTAAAAAATTGCC